TCCCTGTGCTATCATCAACACTGTTCTCAGCACAGATCCAAAACACAGCCCCATACCAGCTGCTAGGAAGAAAGATAACTCTATCCCAGCCAAAACCGGCACAGAGGGGCATGCTGCCATCTCCTGCCAGGCCTCCTGGACCACTGGGCCATGGCATCCACCTCTCACAAAGTACATCCCATACACATTCGCCATAAGATTGGGCAGATCTTTGCTTAGAAAACCCAGACCAGATCCAGGACCCAAAGCGCACTGGATCTGTCCATTCCCAGGCCTCAAAGAAGTCCAGGTCTCAGCCCAAGCTTTTCCTCTCTAGTTGAAATTGTCACTTCATGTGCTTCCTAAAATTGCAGCCTGTATCTTATGTTCAAAACTGCTTCACCCTGGATACCTTTTTTTTATGCTTCATTTTGGCAACAAATTTGCACTTGCACATCTTACACTTCCCTCATCACGACTCAGGCTGAACTGCCTCAGTTCTGCTTTATCCCCGCGAGGGCTGCAAGGATCAGTAACATACTATTCACCATGAAGGTGTAGGTCATGCAATGAAATTTCTGTCTTTCTGAAACCACAAACATAATTGGGCATTTAAGTGCAATTTGGAGGAAATAGCTCCAGGCATTATTTGTCATATAGGTTCCACTAATGGCAAATACTGATGTCTAAAAAGCAAGCGAAAGTTCCCACAAGAAGGAGAAATTTCATTCAATATAATGTAAGGATTAGTTTTCTGAACTGATAGTGGCTTTGAAACTGTTGTTTGCATTTTGCCTTAGATGAAATAAGCAGTTTTCTTATCTAGGTTGTTCCAGGCCTGTCTCTATTGCTCTTTTTTGGAGTTCAGCATCATCAGCAACTTTTCTGGAGATTTCTGTGGAAAGGCTACAACGAAATAAATCTTCATCTTAAAAGATCTTCACCTACAAAACAAGCAAAACAAACCGACTAAAACCTCCAAAACGAGTTCAATTGACTGTTATTCTGTCTTAGTGATGTCTCTCTGCAGGGTTAAACTATTCAAGTCTGGCAGTCTTTCAAGGGTGGTGGCAGGACTTCTTCCAAGCAGAGCAGATGAAAGGCCCCGTGTCAGCTCCATCTTTAGCAGCAGGCTTTGCATCCAGCTCGGAAGCAGCCTCACAGGAGCCATGAAGCCCTGTCCCTGAATGGAGAGATTCACCAGAGGGCAGCACGATATCACTTTTTATTGTCAAAGCAGTAGTTGGGCATTTCACCTAAGAACTTTTTGAAATTAGCTGCTTGTTGTTCCATAGTTATGACTGCAAATAAGTTTCTCTTTAAAGCTAGCCTCTGAAGCAGCTCCCAAATCCATTCTATTAGATGCACATTGATGTTTTAGTGTCCAGGCATTCACCCAGTGGAAGCAGAGGGAGTCCAGACAGTTGTATTTTCAGTGTATCTCTCTTCCAGGTTTCTGTCCAGGGCTGGTTAGGGCAGCTGGTGGGTGCTTGTCCAGCTTCAAGTATTTCAGAAGCTCTCCTGTGTTCAAGGCAGCAGGCTGAGGGAATACCATTTCAGCATCATCAGTAGGAGTAACCCCTATGATGGCACTTCATGAGACGGGTTCCCAGAGGGTGAATGTGGGCATGCTTTTTTTGTGTTGTAATTACATTTATCTCTGGTTGTCCTGTAGGCTGGGCAGCTTCTAGGTTCTCTAGCTCTTATGCCAAACTCTCGCCGTTCAAGGAGCTAAGAGGAGTCACTGGGCACATCTTGCCTGCTCACTTTCCCTCACGCAGGGCTTCATCTGTCGTCAGTCTGTTCCAATTTAGTACTCTGTTCTGATTGCACAGGGAACTGGTGTCTCCAGTAGTTGCCTCCCCTGGTTCAAGTGCCACTGTACTTTTCTGACCTTTTCTGACCTCTTTCTCTCAACTTAGAGTCAAAGCTTTGCTATCTGAGTTCTTACTCTTTTGCTATAGATTAACTACATCTTCCATCCTTGGTCTTTCTCTTTGCTCCATTTGACTTCTGCCTGGTGGGATGTCTCATGTCTGGCTTCAGTCTTGCACTTAACTCCTGACATTCACACGAAGGTCTCCCTCGACTCTCTCCCTCTGATCTCACTCCTTTTTAAGCTCAGTCTCCACTCCATCCATTC